ACTGTCCTAAATATTTCAAAAACAAAAATAGGATATATACACAGGTCCATCTCAATATCATATGAGTGGCTTAAATAATAGCAAGTCATTAGAATTTACCCCCAATTAGGGGCTCCAAGACTTGCGAAATAGCAAGAATGCGCATAACCCGACACATGGGGGCTCCAATATCAACAAAAAAAAGAGATATTCATGCCATTCGAGCTACTTTCGGGAATCGCATAAACTACAAATGGTTTACATAGATCTCGAGCCTTAAAATTTTCAAATGAATCAAAATGATATAATAATCATGTTGTTCCTTTGAAAACTAAGTTTGCAACTAAACTTGGCCATTAAACAGGTTACATACTCGAGCCATTTTCAAGTTCAACTTCAAAAACTAATCTTAGTGCATAATTGTTGTTTCAATACTTCAATTTACTCTAGAGATTAGAGAGTATGACTAGTATAGAGCAAAAGAAACAAAATCATGATACATACTTGCTCATATGAAAGTTTAGTACTCAAATCATTCATCATGAAAATTGTATCAAGACACTTTATTAACATAAAACAAACAATTTCATGAGTTAGAATGTAAACAAAAGACTCTTAAATTCTAAATTAAGGAGTCTTCTTTTAAAATTATTCTCCATTGTTACACACTTTGGAATTTCGCAAGGAGGATAACATCTACTTTCTCGAGATTCAAAATAGTGACAAAATTTGAACTTAAAAGAAAGAATTCAAATGTAGCAAGAATAGACGAAAAATTTGAACAACATTTCATTTTTCCCTTACTTATTCTAATGAATGACCAATATTACTAGAATTAGCAAATTTCTTTGTTAAAACTATCAATGGTCAAAAAACGGTTTAAACACACTAGTTTAATCGTTTCCAAGATCCTAGTTGTTATCATAATAAGACGAAACACGGGATTTGTAGACCCATTTCAAGCAACATGAAAGGGTCTAATTATTGACAACAAGCAGATCATCGAAGTCACCCAACATTAGGGGTTACAACATTCGAAAATGTAAAATGGGGGCTTATGAACCAGAAATATAACCAAGCTACACCAGTTCGATGATCTCTTCAAGATTTTCCTAAACTAACTAGTTTTGTGCAAATATTAAAATCACAGTTTTATAAGTGAATAATAATAACCATCGATTATTTTTATCATTGATAAAACCAATTTTGCAACTTACGCATGAAAATAAAATAAAAATATATAATAATAAACATGAGTCGCAAGAACAAATTCATGCTATTATAAAAGTTCAAAATTTCATTGATAATTATAATGCATAATCGTTGTTCTAAACACTTCAATTTACATTAAAATTAACAAGTATAGTCTATGCGAGCAATAAAGTTCAAGCACAAAGTCAAAATTAGAACAAAAAATATATATTCTTGGCATGCTCATACAGGATCAATACTTTGTCACTTCACATGAAATTTGTTGCAATATATTGCTTAAACATGTCACAACGACAAACAAACAAATTCATGAAAACAAGTCGAATAAAAAACCCCCAAATTCAAAATTTGGGGTTTAACGGTTCGAAAATCGCCCAAATTCAGCCAAGAATGAACGAATTATGGCAAATATGAATAAGGGACGAGATCTACTTCCTTTAGCTTAGAAAAACAAGAAAATCCGAGCTCTTTAGAGAGAGAAAGAAGCGAAAATCGTGAAGGAAGGAGAGAGAAAACGAAATGAAAAATCGCGCTCAACGATTCTCTTTTTGCTGACTTAAATGTCGCGCGCAACTGAATTAGTTGCGCATGAAAGACCAGCGCAACTCAGAACGATGCGCGCGCCTGGCCAGCGTGACTTGCTGAGTTGCACGCGGATATTGGTTACTAAAATGACCGGTATCCAGATTTTGATTCGTTTGATCATTTTTTCAACGGTTTTTGCTCGTTATTAGACGTAATGGCGCGCAAATTATCAAAATCTTTTAAATTTCTTTACATTTTGTAGTTTGTTTTCTACTTTGTTAGTTTTTTGCATCAACTTACATGCACACCGTGCTTTGTGCCTTCCCTAAGCATATGTTTTGAACGTTTTTCGTAAGAGTGCCTTAAGTCGTTCCGTGGTGGTGCTTTACGTAAAAGCACCCATAGACAGGTTTGTCATTTTACTGTACTGACGTTACAAATGTCCGGGTTTTCTTCTTTTTTCACGCCTGAAGCAAAAAGGAAGGCGTTTTCATGCAGCGTAAAAATGCAAATAGCGTATCGTACGATGCAAAATTGTACGGCGTAGGTGTTGCGTAAAATTTCACTTAGCCCAAGCTTTGCGAGATCTACCTCTCGGGACTAAAAGGTAGAGAATTATTGTAAGCGTTAGCTCACGAGTCGACAGGCGCAGCGAACCTTCAGGAACAGGCACTTCTTGAATGGGAGCAAATACGGTAGTTAGTGTGCTTACTAACTTACCGGACAGTTAGGGTGTCGAATTCATCCCCTGTATAAAGAAGCGACGAGACGATGTCACACCTATGTAGTCACGTGCCCCTAGTCTTGAGACACGTGTACTCATCTTATGGACAAAACTGATGAGAGAGTTGCTGACTTTCTTCCCTCTCACTGAATTTGGATATATATGCCTCCAGTCCTGAGACGTGTATTTCTATCTTGTGGACTTCCGGCTCGAATACCGAACCCGACTCGAATACCGGACCATTTTGGCTCTAATACCGAAAACCCATTTTCATCTTTTACTTTGTTAAATTCAGGCTAAAGTTTCAATGACATATCGAGGGACTTTAGACCAACAATGACGCGATTGAGAGGAAACCTTCCCCTTTATCCTCTTAAAACCGATCTCTTCTCATGACTTGACATCACCCAGAACACCTTTACTTGTAAAAGCGTCTACAACTGCAAAAGATCAATCTAGATTCTTTAGCGCGTTAAGACTAGGAAAAACTTTTTCTACCCTTAATAGCTACTTGTTTCACACACTTAGCGAACCAAGGATCGTTTTGACATCCTTAATATTTCTGAAAGCTTCTCTATTCTTAGGGAACTTCACAGAATGAGTCTCGGATTTATTTCCTTGACTACTTTGATCATCGTCTATTTTAGGCTCGATCAAAGTGGGGGCTAACTGTAGACACCTACTTTTGGCCTCTTGTCCCAAAAGGAAGTGTGATGATGTTACAAAAATCCGTTCTTCATGTTAGATCAAAGTTGAAATTTTTATGGAATATAAAAAGCATTATGAAGTAAGTTAAAACCCATATTTGAGACCAAGTTATCTTATATCCTTTTTGGATTACTAATTAGGTCTAAAACGTGTTCATACATGTTTAAACTTGATTAATAACGGATCCAAATTCGTCAAATACAATGATTGGATCCAATGGAACCTACATTGTTGAAAACCGAGCCAAACAGATAAACCAACAATAAAATTTCCATGCACGACCTATACAGAGGATAGCCCTTTCAAAGAGCTTTCCAACGGTGTATTATAAGCCCAATTCCGAGCCAAAACCAAGAACTTATGATCAAAACACTAAACCAGGCCCTAAAACCGATACCCTTGCACTCCAACGGCCATAACTTTTGATACATAACATATTTTAACCTAATCTTAACGGAATTGGAAAGTAGACATTCAGATATTTCCAATGATATCTCACACGCCTTAATCCGACTCCGCAATCAAAAGTATGGAAGTTTTAAAAATGCATTTTCATATAAGGCAAACCGCAAACCAGCGCAACTCAATCATTTGCGCGCGCAACTTATTGGGATGCGCGCGGCACCCAGCGCAACTCAGAGAGTTGCGTGCGCCACCTGACGGCGCGGATCTAAAACCCTAAACCTAGATCCCTACACCTATAAATAGGGGTCTTCGTTCAACATTACGAGGACCGAAAAATTCAGAATTAAAACCCTAGTATTCTCAAAACCCTAATCTCTCAACTTCTCTTACTATCATACTACTTTTTCTTCTCTCTTCCCAAATACTTTCCGACCTTAATTAAATCCATTGAAGTCATTGGAGGTATGAATAATAAAGAAATTACATAAACACATTAAACGGAGATTTAACATAAAGAAGAACGGTTATTTTTCTGAGCACTTAGATAAATCACTTTTCCTTTATTGTTTAAATAACTTTAATTGAATGAATAGTGTTGTTTGATCACTTTAAACAAACTTTTAATTAATTAATTCACATAGTACTCTTTCGTTAATAAAGAATAGAATTTGATAATTAATTGTTTTTTTATCACTTATGACAAGGCGAATATTGTATATTGTGTTCTTTCACGAATATTGATTAAATAAGAATAATGACTTTTGCAATGTAATTCCTACGTGATTAATGCTTGTAAATAAAATCAACTAAATTAGTCTTTAGTTATCACGTTGCATATATTGTTTGGTAATGAAATTGTGAAAAAGGAAGAGCTAGTAGAGGCCGTACTAGGGCTAGAATAGCGATTCCTCCCTAAAAGGAATGTTATTTTAGTACCCTTGCTCCCGAACTCATATTTGGTTTATGTAGACCAATTTGGGCATGGGTAAACTTATGATTCGTTCTAATTATTCCATGAACTCCACATGGAAGAAAGGCATGAACGAGGTTTATGAGTTTTCATAAAAGTCATTGGCGACTCCTACTTCTTTCTTATAAAAAAGCGTGATGAGAGTATCATTTCTAATTCAAGGTCTCCCAAACAGTCAGGAATTCAAATCCTAATACACCCTAAAAAGTGTAAAGTCCTAGGCTTATAAAGGGCCAATGGACATCTAAGGAAGGACCCCCTTACGATGGGATCACCCTCCTTACAGCAGGCCAAAAAAAAGGCAAGTTAAGTAAGAAGAGAAGAAATGAGGATACATCTTCAGATTCTTAATTAGGATGAGTATGATGTGATTGTTAGAGAATATTATATAACTATATATTATTACGATGAATATGGGAATTTTACTTAAATATTGTACATAAATACACTTAGAATATTTCATGTTAAATGTGGCAGGACAAGATAAAGGAATTATCTGCCAAATTAGGTGATAAGAGGAAAATATCCAAATATAAGTTAGACTATGATGAAGTGTTATCCTGTTTGAAATAATTATGAATTTTGCTCTGATTTGCGTATTATTTTAATTTCTTAGTCGTGTTACAAAATCTTTAGCAGGTAGATAAATTGAAGCCAGGAAAAAGACCAAATCTATAAAAAAAAATAAGGTTGTTAAAGAAGGCTCCCAAGGAGAAAAGAGATGACAGTGATGATAATGAATTAGATAAGGAAACCGAAGATGAAGATGACAAGGATGGCAGAACAAAAAGCGATGGCTCCCAGAGAGAAGATAGACCTTATGACAAATATGGAGAAGGGAAGTCTGAGGGGGAAATTGAACCTGACGGAGAAGATGAACCTGCTGATGAGGTTGGACCTTATGAGGAAGATGAACCAGCTGCTGATGAGGGTGGACCTCAAAAGGAAGATGACGCTAATGGTGGAAAAAGACCTTCTGATAAGGATGAACCTGATGGTAGAGATGGACCTCAAGCAGGTGCTGATGATGACCTCGACATACCTCGATCTAAAAAACCACCTACTATGTCCCCAACCGCTAGAAGACTTGCTAAGATTATACTGCAGAAAAAAGGCAATGAATCGTAAGTTTCAGTATTAAAGACAATATTACATGCGTAGTAAATATTTCTATAATTTCATCTATGTCCCTAACTGCCAAAAGACTTGCTGAGATAATACTGTAACTGTCTTGATACTAAATAAAGAGCTAATAATATCTGTGTCAATGAGTTAATTATATTTTTTATACAATTGTTTTTTTTGATAATAAGGTTGAGAAACTCAGTGATGTTTAAGTTTCGAACATTATCTTTGACTCGCGGCATGCTACACGATTCGTTTAAGAAGAACGGGTCAATATCTGCGATTATTATGGAGGCCTTTGGGAATATGTTGAATGAATTCACTTGTGAAGATCCAAAGAATGGCAGACATGTTTACGTGATGCCAGTAACTTACATGGTAAATACTTTTAAACTTAGTATCATAAGTTGTTGGGATGTAGATAGCAGTTAGTATAATATGCTAAACAAATTGTGTCCCATGTCCATGCAGGAAGAGGCTATAAAGAAACTAAGGGCCCAAGGCGATGTTGGGGACATTGTGAATCGATGTGTGGAGACCATTGCACTGGATATTGCTGTTTGTGAAATATTAGAAAACCATAAAAGGGTAAGATAATCATGCTCACTTATTAATTATAAAACTATTTAGTTTGATTGTTTATTTTTAACATATATCTATTTTTTGGTTATTTAGAAAATTGGGTAGGTTACTAATTAAATATTAAACATGCTAATTTCATTTGTTAACTAATTACATCATTTTGGTTTCGTATGAAATCACACACATGCAGGTCTTCTTTCCGATGTTGCATAATGGAAGATGGAAATTGTACTTGATAAGTTTAAGTAAAAGAAAATTGTTGTCTTTGACACCAAACAAGCATATCCCCACCCAACTCATTCGAAAGTTCTCCCGATGGTGGTAATTCACTATATCCTTCCATTGACTAGTATTAATGAGTTGGTTAGTGTTTTATCTAACTTAATTAATGCTTTAATTTTATTCAGATGGAATTTGCAAAAGGTGTTTTTTCCTTAATATGAACAAGCATACCCAGTGAGTTAGAGTAGTTTGAAGTGACAAATTTCAATAATATACCCAAGGAAAAGAAAGCTCATGACTCGGGGATGCTTTGCCTGCTGTTTTTATACAACATCTTCAGCGATGTTAATGACTGGATGCATGTAAGTAGTAATTAACTAAGTATGTACTTTGGTGCCAGTAGTGTTATGTTTGTAATCTAAGACTTGTTAGCAAACAATTGAATGAAGTCTTACAAGGGTAATGAAGAGCTCTACAGGAAGACAATGTGCACCAACATTCTACTGGATGAAGTGAACGAGCTCAGTGGAGATTTAGCAGATTTAGAGAAGGGTGTTTAAGAAGGGTTGGAAATTGGTTTTTATATTTGGTACAACTTACATTGTTGTCTGATTCATGTACCTCTTTGGCATGAAGTACTTATATTAGTATTAGTAAGTAATGGATAATTAATCAAATATGCACATGGTTGTTGTTTGTTATTTCAATATACAGTTTGCTTACTTTATAGTTGCTCATTGTGCAAACTGGTGAAGATCCAACTATATTTTATTTTTGTTATTATAATTTTATTGATGATACATCACTAAATCAGTCATTTTTGTTTTTAAGACTGCACCTATAACATTAGAACTTGGATTTTGGACGAGTATGGGCATAAATTACTTAATATATTAGTAACCGTTGTTATTTAAATTAAATGTACTATTAATTGTTTAGTGATTAATAAATATAAGGTCATTATAATTCAAAGATCAAATTGCTTAATATATTAGTAACCGTTGCGTTTTAAATTAAATGTACTAGTAATTGTTTAGTGATTAATAAATGAAAGGTCATTTTAATTCAAAAATCAATTCAGGTCGTACTGTATTATGTATTATTTTTACTAAACTAGTTAATGTCCAATCCATGCTCGGATTTTTCATTTGATAAATGGTTGAATTATCTTTTAAGATTATGTAGTAAGTCGATCACCTATACAATAGATTTTATAAATTACTTTGTGTAATCGTGTAAACATGTAATTGTACCATCAAATAATTGTACATGATATGTGTTAATGTAGATTATCTCTTTCCAGTATTTTGCTTACAAATGAAATATATCTTATATTTTGAGTCAAAACAGTATAATAATGTCACATAAATCACTATTAAACGATGTACGTTAAATTATCATCTAATATTAATAAATCTACTCTTCGGAATAATTTAATGTTAATTTATATTTTTTGAAATGGTAAGTATTTACTTTTTTTAAAAAAAAGTAATTTAGTTCCGTGTTGAAATTTGAATTTTTTAAATATAAGAAATATATTTATGAATATTTTACATATTTATAGTATTGAGTTGTTTACTTACTAAAAACATGAAAACAATATAATTTATTGTTAAAATATGAGATAATTATTTGATATTTCCCGCCGAATGTTATATTCATTTTAGAAAAAATTATCATAATTAACACCTGCAGTTATAGTCAATTTTTAATTTTGTTTATCTTGTTTGATACAAATAATTTTTGTTTAATTTTTTTTTTCTTTGAAAGAAGTCCTAAAGGACATAAAATTTCATTAAATAAAGTCATACGACATCTACAATTGACAATTAACAATAATGAAAACGTATTTAACAACATCGAATAAGAATTAATCGGGGAAGGGATAAGAATCCAAATACATAAATATAAAAATTCTATATTCTCGATTCGATGTCTCATACAGCTTTTTAAGCGGATCTGTCGTCGCTTCAAACAATTTTGTGAGATACTTAATTCCGTGTTGATTCCATAACCCAAATTCGTGTCATAATCAATCGTGGCCCCGCATAACCATAGACCAAATTAACCACAAATAAAACCATGTCGTTCGACGGAGTCTGTAAAACCTTGTATTTGGAAGGAGATCGAAAAAACCTTGTCTTTCGAAGGAGATAAAACCTTTGAGAGAAACATTGTTATTGTAACCTAAGAAACAAAAAGCTTACAAGAAAATAAAAATTAGGGCTTTCTAATGGTTAAATTTGATGAAAGTCTCTTCAGAATTGACAATTGCAGGCTAGAGTTTAGTAGAGAAAGGAGGCTAGCATTTTATTTTTATTTTTTTGCTATCATAATTTTATTTTACAACAAAAAAATCATCAAAATAAAATAGAATTAAATTTCAGTTAGTAATTATCAAATGTTCTACAAGACGACATTGAGTATGAATATGGAAAAATAATTAGAACATTATGGTGCAAGAGTCAAGAGTTGAACCCATTTTATATTTAATTAATTAATTTGGTCCTTTAAAGTAAGACAATCAACAACCAACCTTATTACATTAATTAAGTGCTTTGATCCTTTGAAAATAAAAAAAAAATTACATTGGTAATTTGGTCTATTAATTATTTCTTAACTAGACTTTATTCTTTCAAAAAAAAATGAAATTTCTTATGAGCATATGCTATAACCTTTCGTATTATTTTTTAAACACAGTCCCACCATTATTCAAAAACAAATAACGCCTAAACTACATTCATAAGTAGAGTCTACCATTCGAAGCACTTTTTCAACGGAATGAAGTACTGAAGTGTTTGATTGAAGTACCCGCCATATAAGCCATATACTACAATTGAATTTCTTCGAATTAGGTATGTCGTAGTCCCTATTGATATATTTTGAACAATAATGCATATCACTAAATTTAATTTGCATATTTTATACAATGTTTAACTTCTTTGACAATTTGGTTGACAAAACATTAAAACTGTCGTAATATAGGGTTTGAGTAAATTGGTTGCTGCAAGTCTATATTGAATAATTTTAAATAAATTTGTAAATTTTCATATGTTATAAACTGATTCGAAAATTCAACTGACATAACTGGTATGGGGCTAGGTACAAACTTGTTTCACAGTAAAACTAGTAACAAACAAAATTTCTTGGTAATAGAATGAACTATTGCAGTACTACCAATACAAAAGTATTTGACACGTCTATCATATTGTAAAACTACATAGGTAAGAATTCAATACATGAATAAAGCTACTGGAAGTCTTTACATAATAAAAATTGTCTTGATACTAAATAAATAACTAACAATTATGTTACGTAGACCATATGATGATTAATATAGGTACCGGAAGTCATTACCAAATAAAATGTTTACGATACTAAATATATAACTAATAATGAAGCTTGTCTTATGTATTCAAAAAAGACCACATGATGATATTGCAATTATATGACAATTTGATTTAATATTATTTCAATCCTATTTGAAATATTTTCATGTGATGTGGTGTATGTTAAAGGCAATGCTTTTTATTTGTAAGTTCCATTCATGTAAGTCAAAAGTGAATGGTATGAACTTCTATTCATCTAAATGCAGTGATATGGACAACAACCTAGACATAGATCTTAACCAAGATGTAGAAGAACAAGTCATCGTTGATGAGGCAGAGGTAGATGTAGACAACCTCTCTCAAGATAACGAAATAGAGAACTTTCAGCAACAAGATATTGATCATGAAAATGAAGAACAAAATGATTAACAACATAATGATAATGACAATGAAGGACAGCATGACTAACAAGATGATCCAGCAGTCGGAATGTGCTTTCCTTTAGGGGAAGAATTTGCCAATTTTTGTTATAAATATGCATACAAAAAAGGGTTTACTTTTTTTGTAAGGACTGCCACATTGATGGATAGCTACAAGTCGCAAGGAATCAATAAGGCAAATGGCGCGAAAAATCAGACATCCAACCACATGATGAAATAACTAAGACTTGTATGTACAAAAGGTGGTAAAAAGCAAACCGTGGGATCTTCTGTAAGTGAATGTAAAGTGTTTGTGCACGAGTATATGGTAAATGGTCAGAGGAGAATCTCAACATGTCAATTGGACCACGACCATAGAATTCATCCGAAAAGTAGCCATCTAATGGTTAATTACAGAAGCATCGATGACCCAAATGTCTATAGAATTATGGCTAATAACCGTGTTGGTATATCGATCGTGAAAAACTTCAATTCTTTTTTAGTTGAAAATGGGGATCATGACAATCTGACATTCAATCAACGGGACCTGAGAAATGTAGTGAACTTAGAGTTTCGTAAAACACGGTTTCAAGGAGATGCAATTGCCCTTAAAACATACTTTCGAAATCAGCATGAGCTTAATAATGAATTTTACAGCGCAATCCAAAGGGGCTGCGATGGAAGGTTGATGAATATGTTTTGGTCAGATGCAGGGTGTAGGGCAATGTGTGAAGATTTTGGCGATATAATAACGTTTAACACAACGTTTCAAACCAACAGGTTAGGCTACTTAACTATTTATTACATTGTTTTGTAGTAACCATAATAATTATACCAGTATTAACAAGGCTAGGGCGATTAGCTTAAGTGTATAATAGATATTTTATTGATAACATAAAATGGTTTAAAGGTACCATTCGGCAATGAATTTAATTATTTTCAAGGATTCTTTTTAATCAGTGAATGTAAATTTAATATATTTATTAGATATTTAACATGAACATAACATTTCAAATATGAAATGCCTTTGGCACTGTTCGTCGCTGTCAACCATCATGGGAGTTCAATTGTACTTGCTTGTGCTTTGATTTCACACGAGGATACTGACACCTTTGTGTGGGTATTTAATGAATAGCTCAAGTGTATGGGTAAGGCACCGTTAGGCATTCTCACTGATCAAGACAAAGCAATAGGGAAGGCAGTGTGTATAGTTTTCCTGGGGATACCACACATGCTATGCTTGTGGCATATTATGAAAAATGTTGCACATAATTTGGGTTCGCATAAAAAATGGAAAGAAGTTAAGGTAGCACTGAGAGTAGTTGTCCATAAGTGTCTAGACCAGGATGAATTTGACAACGCATGGGCTATAATGGTAAATAAGTTTTAGATCGGTAGCAATACTTGGATACAGGAATCCTACAAGTTGAAGGATAGGTGGGCCCTTGGGTATTGTCACGACAATTATTGGGATGGAATGTCTTCCACCCAGAGAAGTGAAGACATGAATCATTTTTTAAAAGGCTCCGTCAACATTGATACCCCGTTGGCTCCATTTGTTGAGCTTTATGAGGCCGCCATGAGGGACTTAAAATATAAGGAGCAATTGTTGAATTTTGCATCGTCGGATAAACCCCTTTCGGTGGACAAGACTATAATTGCCGAGTACATTTTCCACATCAAGTACACCAATGCAAAGTTCAGAGAGGTAAAAGACGAGTGCCTAGGGTTGAGACATACATACATTAATAAGACCTCGGCGCTTGGTACAATCACCTTTTACAAAGCTGATGAAAAGATTCCAACCCCCATAGTTAGGAAGAGGTGGAAGAGTTACACGCTGACAATTGACAAAGAAAAAGGTGATTTCTCATGCTCATGTAAGTTATTTGATTTTGGGGGAATATTGTGTAGGCATATAATTCGAGTAATAGAGTAAGAGGATATAGCTCACATCCCAGAGAAATATATTTTAAATTGCTGGAGGAAGGATGTTGTGAGGCGATACGAGGGCATTCATGTAGCATACTATGACCTCGACTCAGATCGATTTCAAAAGGTAAAAGAAATAAGCCTTAGAAATAAATACCTGAGCACGCTAGCCATGCACAACGACACTACATTTGCTATGTATAAGGAAGTCACATATAAGATTAGAATTGAGTTGGAGGATTTAATGGGTATTGAGCATAAAGATAATGACGCACATGACGAGGGGTGGAAGTAGGTCGTTGAAACTAATCCTCCCTCGATCAAACTAAATTTATAAATACTTAACAAACCTATATACAAGTATAGAGGAAAGTTAGGGATCGAACCCAAAAGAACGATAATGTTCAAGCGCTCTCAATTATACGCTTAAGCTAGGTCGAAGTCTAGGGATAAAAGGTAACACTAACCAACTAACAAAATGAAGAATCAAACAAATAAACACTAGGAACGGGATCAACAAGTAATCATGACAATTGTAGCAGCTCGGAAATACATACAAGTCAATAGTTGTGAAGACTAATGGCAAGCTCAATCAAAAGAGTCAACAAGATATCTCCTAGAGGTCAAACTAGCGCCAACTACGAGAGACTCTAACTAGGAGCATCACTAATCAAGCTCAATCGACAACTGTAAGCTACAAATCAATGGTCCGTATCAATGTAGACTCACAATGCAATCTAGCATAATTCTCAAGGCCTAATCGAATTACACACATGTAAACTTCCATTAATCACTTTAATCTCAACAATTAATCAACATACTTCCCAAATTAAGCACAATCAATCAATCATACAAGTTTCACCCAATTCCCCAAAACCAAACCCGATGATGAACAACCTTTCACCGCCATTATTGGTCGGGTTGAATATTTAATTTTTGGAGTGCTTAAATCCATATTTCCATTTCATAAACCAACCCAACTTCTAGCCCATTTCCCCAAAACATAACTTATTTTCCTCTTTTCGTGCCTTTAAACCCAAAATAATTCATTTCGTGTCCTTTAAAATCATTCATTTTGTGTCCTTTTTATAAAACGTTTAATCCAGTTTATTTTGGTCCATTATCTAGGTTCAATGATTGAATAGTTGGATGGGGCTTTAAAAGATCTTTCCAACGATATATTATAAGCCCAAATCCATAACGAATAAGTTATGGCCAAAATATTAAACTGAGCCCAAACCGAACCTAAGCCCACCTTACCTACGACCCAATGAACATGTGGAGGGTCCAAATTATTTAATCCCATTCATAAACCAATTAGGATTGATTGGAAGCTTCTACAAGTTTCTAAAAGATCTTAATTATCCTTTTTTAAAAGATAAGATTAAAGAGTTTGAAATTGAATAAACTCCTTTTTTTTTAAAGTCCTAATTCTATCCAAATTGAAAGACGTTCAAAGATATACAGATATGAATTTCGTGCCTATTTTTTTTATCTGAATTGTATATGGTTGGATAGCCCTTTAAATTATCTTTCCAATGATATATCATAATATCAATTCCGAGATATAACGGAAAAGATATGAATAAAATGTCAAACTCTATCCAAAACTGACACCGTCTCACTATTTCGGCTATATCTTTACTTTAATTGGGTTAGAAATTAGACTTCAAGATCTTTCCAACTATATCTTATTCATCTTATTCCGATTTCTGGATCAAAAGATATGATAAAAACAAAAACCGCAAAAACTGTTGTCTATCGAGTTTTATTCCGATTTAATTCGGATCTTATCTTAATTCTTCGACCCTTCTTTTTTCTCTATAAATAGAGTTCATATCACCCTTTTTTCAATCATCAACAAGTTTGATCATAAAATAATTTAATTGGTGGTTGGTGCAGGCGGATGCACGATCCGCATTGTGCATCCGCCGCAAAACGACATTGCTTTGTTAACAAAACGCAGGCCTTCAATTTCTAAAAAACGCGGAATGTACATTACGTTGTGTAATAAGGTACATGGTAGTAGAAAAGAACATTTTGTTCAATTTTAATGAACATAAGTTGTTTTAACCTTAAGTTTTGTAAAAAAGGAAAAAGATAAAAAAAGATAAACATAGTAATTTTTTTTTACCATTTCATACTATACTCTCTCTCTCTCTAAAATTTTATTTCTCTAGAATATTTCTCTCTTTATAAGTTTTCTCTACCAAACCGATTCAAATTCTTGAAACCCTAATATTAATTTGGTGAATTTCGAACTTGTTGGTGCGAAATTGTTCAAGTATGGTTGACGAAATTGTTCGAATGTAAGTAGTTTTTGCAACTTTCTGTTTTTTTTTTCTTTTTGTGCTTGGTTTGATTTTTGAGTTCAAATCGATTTTTTGTTTTATTTTTTTGATTTGTTTTTTTTTAATTCCATTTTTGAAGAAGATCGTTCGATTATTCCATTTTTGAAGAAGAAAGCAAGCAAATATACAATTTTAGAAAAAGTTGTAGATTCAAATAATACTATGTACATTAAAATACAGTAAAATGTTCTTTTTCATATACTTACATGATGCAAATAATACAATGTACATTAAACATGTAACCAACATTATAAGATATATGTTCATTAGAATATATTACAATGTACATTATAATACAATAAAATGTACTTTTTATATGCATACATGGTCATTTATACCAAATGTACATTTACTATTTGAATAATGTTCTTTAATATTATCATGTTCTTTACTAATATTACAAATGTTCTTTAGATTTACAAAAAAACATATAAAACTAGATGTTCTTTATAAAATAGCTATATGTTCTTTATAAAACAAGTATATGTTCTTTACTGAACAACTAAATGTTCATTCCGCCTTTTTTTTAAAGAAAACTGAATGCACCATGCTTGGTGCATCCGCCTCCACAGAAAAAATTTCAAAAATAATTATCTTCTCCCTCTTTAGCCTAAACACTAGCCTCCCTATTCTTCCATAATAGTACTTCCCCTAAGCACTCCAAGGAGTCCATACTTTACCCAAAGTTCTATACTTAAACCAAGGCGTGAAAGGTATAATTGACTGAGGGTTTGGACCAAATCAACTCTACTTTAATTTAATTTCTATTTGATTTATATTTTTATTGAAGTTACTAACAGTTTATTCATGATGTAGCAATTTAAAGGAATGCGCAGAATGTGAGTAATTAATTAATTTAATTACTCTTATTTTATTTTTAATATTGCTAGTATCATGATTAGGGTTGTTATTTTTATTATTTGATTTTGCTAACATTATTATTGTTGAATTGCTTCCAATATTAATGTTTATTCTATTATATTTTTTTATTGATCACCATATTGCATCTTTAAAGGGAATATGTAATTGAAAATCACGCCTAATAAGATAATTTGGACAACCAATTTAGGTTCCTTTTAATCTTGTTATTTAATTCAAGTGATCACGATATTTTAGAATTATGTGTTGCATTAATATTAAACCAATTTAGCTTAATAATAGTTTGGAGCAAATTGAATATTTTGTTTGTATGCCTTTGTGATCGCAGGAATCATTTTTCACTATAAGAATCGAGTACAGGCCAATACGGGCGAATGTGACTCCATGACTCACTTTGTACCATCATCCCCGATCCTCCTTTCGTGGTTCCGAACCATATGGAGTTAGTAATCTCATGGATTATGAATGGGGTGTAACCTTCACGGGTCAATCGTTGTTGTCTATCGTTGTCCCTTTATCGTGGTTGCCTTTTATGATCCGTGAACGGTTTACAAGTTACTTAAAAACTTGTTGGCGGCTCCCTACTTTCCTTGTCCCTAATCGTATATGTCAATTCCCACTTCCTAAGAGTGTCAAGCATATTCACACATGCTTTAACGTAGGCGCACTTCGAGCGACACCTACACTAGCAAACAACTACACTAACATCATCATCTAGTCACAAACAACTAAAGAAATCAAGAATCATCAAAATATAGAGAACAATTACACTAATCAACAATCAAACATCAAAATCAAATCAAACAAACTTAAATATTAAACAAAGCAATAAAATGAGATAGAGTTAAGAATGCTCATTGATAATAGAGAAGATCTTCAACACAATTGTCACCATTGAATCTTCAATCTCTCAATCACCATTGAAATTCCTCACTTTCTCTCTCTAAAATATACTCCTAAACTAACCCTAAAACTAGAGAGAGCAGCTCTCAACTAAACTAAGAAAAATGAATTATAATCTAATTCTAATTTCTCACCCAAAAATGGGTATTTATAATTACAAAGATAAAAGAAAATAAAAGAGAAAAGAAAACAAAATAAAAATGAAAGAAAAGGAAATGAAAACAAAATAAAAAAAGAAAAGAAAAAGAAAGTAAAAAGGAAAATTAAAAATAAAAGGGAAATAAAAGAAAGAAACGGTTTTGGCTGCTCTCTGAGGAAGGGAATTTATCCCCTGTTTCGCACATCAATTTGAAGCAAGTTCGATCATCAAGCTTCAATAAAATCAACGGCCGAAACTTGAATCCCCTGCCACGCACCTCCTTTAAACCCACAAACGTGCGGCCGCGAAGATTGCGAGCGCGGCCGCGTTGATTGAGGTTCGGATTGAAGCGCTTACTTGCGTGAGGTGTTGAATGAGGGTGGCTGCAGCAGCGGTGGTGAAAGAGGAGGAGCTGCGACTGTTGGTTAATTGCTGTTGGTGTTGCGTGGTGGATGCGGGAAAGAAGATGAGTGGACAGTGCTGCTGGTTGCGGGTAGCAGGGGAGCTGACTGGTGGCTGGTGGTTGCGGCAATTGGAGGTGTGTGAGTGGTGGAGATTGGAGGTAAGTGATGGTGGCTGACTGGTGTTAATTACGGTTGTGGAGTTGTTGCTATTGTTGGTGTTTGCGTGGTGGTGGTTGGTGTATTGGCTGTTGCTGCTGTTTGGTTGTTGTGGGATGGAAGGAGTTAGTTGCGGCTGCCGGAATTCAGGGGAAAGGTGGTACGAATGGTGGTGGTGTGAAATTGGTGGCAGGTTGGGTGTTTAGGGGGAGCAGGGGAAGTGTTGTTGTTGTTCGTGAATTGGGGAAGCTAGGGAAATTGCTTGAGGTTGAGTAGCCGGTGGGCGCGAGCATCACCCTCACAACACGCTCTTGATGAACACAAAAGTAGGCAGTCCCTAAACACGATTGTGGGTTCAACACTACCCGGTTTGAGAGCGCGGCTATGCAAGCGCAAGGAGTTGAACTTAGGATATTCACCTACAAAATACAAATGAAATCAACGATAAAATGAAGTAAAATAAACTCAAAATTAATAAACAAAACTAAGAGAAATAAAATGAAAATGAAAAGAATAAAAGAAAGAAAATATTATAAAATGAAAAGAAAATAAAGGAAAGAAAATGAAATGAAAATGAAAATGAAAAATGAAAATAAAATAAAATAAAATGAAAACTAAAATAAATGAAAACTGAATCTATAAAATCTAAAATATGTTATGATAATATCTAAATATGGATGACTATTATCCCATGTACAATCTAGAATATTTTAGAGTTGGGTATTTGGTCTTATCCATTGATGGAACCCTAGGTAATGTACATTATATATATCCTGTACTAGATGCAATATAAATTATAACGTAACAATCTTCCCTCATCTCTCTGTATTTTCTCTTCTATATTTAACACGTTATCAGCACCATTGCTAGTCAACTGAGTAGGATTACCAAACATTTATCTAGAATCCCATATTATTTTTATCATGTATGTATGATCGCAGCCCATAACAATTATAATTTAACATTTATCTAGTTTTGCATGCTTATTTATTGGAATATCAACATATATAACGAATACAGACCATGATATATAATTTAAGGTTCCATTTTTATTTTTCTCCATGCTAACGTTCTCATCTTCTATTTCGTTCTTATTTATGCGTGACTTGTATCAGGTTTATTTATGCATGATTATAACGTTTAGTACATATTTTGGATACTATTTATGTATACTTATCTTTTAATATTATTTTGTATAGTGAAAAATGTCGAACCTTGTCAAGCTCGAATTTGTGGCCCTTGATATTACCGGAAAGGATTATTTATCATGGGAATTAGATGTTGAAATACACCTAGACGCTAAAGAGCTTGGTGAAACAATAAAAGAGGCTAATAAGGCAACGCCTCAAGATAAGGCTAAAGCCATGATTTTTCTTCGCCATCACCTCCATGAAGGGCTCAAAACTGAATATTTAACTACGAAAGACCTACAAATCCTTTGGAGTAATCTAAAGGAAAGGTATGACCACCAAAAAACAGTGATACTCCCTAGAACTCGTTATGAATGGTTGAATTTGAGATTGCAAGATTTTAAATATGTTAGTGAATATAACTCAGCTATGTTTAAAATAACTTCTCAATTTATGTGGAGAAAATATTACTGATGCAGAACTGCTTGAAAAGACATACTCCACTTTCCATGCTAATAATATTGTCTTGCAGACACAATATAGAGAAAAAGGTTTTAAAAAATATTCTGAATTAATATCTTGTCTTCTTGTGGCTGAGCAAAATAACGAGCTATTAATGAAAAATCATGAATCACGTCCTACTGGCTCTACTCCATTCCCTGAAGCGAATGTGACAACCCATAACGGGAAAGAAACTAAAAACAAAGACCATTCCAGCAGTAGTGGTCGAGGTAGAGGTCATGGTCGTGGCCAATGGCGCGGCCGGGGTCGTGGACATGGATATGGTAGAGGTCGTGGAGGTCATTTCACAAACTCACATTCCCACCAGAAGTGGGAACGTAGGGATGAAAAAGAGAAAAGTGATAACAATATATGTTACCGGTGTGGAGGAAAAGGTCATTGGTCTCGGGTTTGTAGAACTCCAAAACATCTTATTGAACTTTACCAAGAATCCTTGAAGAAAGGAAAGAAAGTTGAGGCAAACCTTGTTCTTTAAGATGGTGAAGGTGATTTTGATTTTGGCAATGCAAATCATTTCGATGTTGCTAATTTCCTTACTTCCCCGGAAGGGAATAATTTTTATTTTGGCAATACAACTCATTTAGAAGTTGCTGATTTCTTCACTGCCCCATTGGGGAATAATTAATATTATATTGTTTTGTGTCAGTTTTAAGTATTAGACTTATGTTTGCTCATTCTAGTGATTTACTTAAGTTTTTTTTTTCGTTGTAATAAGGACTTTTGCTTTATAAATTTAAGAACTATTTGAGTGTTTTTATTGATTTATGTATTTTATCATCTTTATTTTTATGCTTAATATTTTGACATGTATTTTATTTCATGAAGAACATGGATAAAACTCAAGTTCGATTTGCTATGAATGGTGAAGAATTATGTCTTGCTGACAGTGCAACTACTCATAAAATACTTAAAAATAAAAAATATTTCTCTCATTTGATGATGAAAAGAACTAATGTGAGTACCATACCGGGTAGTACAAATATCATTGAGGGCTTCGGAAGAGCCACTATAAAGTTGCCTTGAGGAACTGAAATTAAAATAATTGATGCTTTATAGTCCCCATTGTCTCAAAAAAATTTATTAAGTTTTAAGGATATTCGCAACAATTCATTTGATGATGAAAAGAACTAATGTGAGTACCATACCGGGTAGTACAAATATCATTGAGGGCTCCGGAAGAGCCACTATAAAGTTGCCTTGGGGAACTGAAATTAAAATAATTGATGCTTTATACTCCCCATTGTCTCAAAGAAATTTATTAAGTTTTAAGGATATTCGCAACAATGGTTATCATAATGAGACAATCAATGAAGAAAATAACGAATTCCTTCGAATCACAAATATAACTCAAGGCTCAAAACATGTTTTGGAGAAACTACCTACATTCTCTAGTGGTTTGTTCTACACAAAAATCAATGCTATTGAAGCTCATGCTATAGTAAACCAGAAGTTTACTGATGATTTTGTTGTTTGGCATGACCGGTTAGGCCATCCCGGATCAATAATGATGCAAAAAATAATTATGAATTCATGTGGACATTCTTTGAAGAGCTAGCAGATTCTTCATAATAATTTTTCATGTGCTGCTTGCTCGGAAGGCAAGTTCATTATTCACCCATCACCAACTAAAATTTATTTTGAATCAATTAGTTTTCTGAAACGTATACAAGGAGATATTTGTGGGCCCATACATCCCCCATGTGGACCATTTAGATATTTTATGGTTTTAATTGATGCATCAACTAGATGGTCACATATGTCTTTGTTATCAACTCGTAACCTGGCGTTTGCGAGATTACTTGCCCAATTGATTAAGTTACAGGCACATTTTCTAGATACTCCCATCAAGACTATTCGGCTTGACAATGCTGGTGAATTTACATCTCAAGCTTTTAATGATTATTGCATGTCCATTGGGTTAAATGTTGAACATCCTGTAGCACATGTTCATACGCAAAACGGTCTGGCAGAGTCATTAATAAAACGTATTCAGTTAATTGCTAGACCATTGCTTATGAAATCAAATCTCCCAATTTCTGCTTGGGGACATGCTATATTACATGCAACAACACTAATTCGCATTAGGCCAACAAGTTATCACAAGTTCTCCCCATTACAATTGGTTTATGGTTAGGAACCAATTATTTCCCATCTAAGAATTTTTGGATGTGCGGTTTATGTTCCTATAGCTCCACCACAACGCACTAAGATGGATCCTCAAAGGAGGTTGGGGATATATGTTGGGTTTGAATCCCCGTCAATAATTAAATATCTTGAGCCTACAACAGGGGATTTATTTACGGCTCGTTTTGCAGATTGTCATTTTAACGAGTCACTTTTCCCAACATTAGGGGGAGAAAAGAGAGAGCTGGAAAAGGAAATTAAATGGAATGAATTATCATTATCGATCCTATGTTGATCCTCGAACTAAACAATGTGAACTGGAAGTTCAAAGGATAAATCATTTACAAAGTTTAGCGAATCAATTGCCAGACTCGTTTGCTGACCAAAAAAGAGTAACCAGGTCACATATTCCAGCTGTAAATGCTCCATTTAAAATAGATGTCCCGGAAGGACAAAATAAAATTGCTAATGAGTCTAAACCACGCCAGAAACGTGGAAGACCAATAGGTTCCAAAGATAAGAATCCTCGAAAAAGAAAAAGAGCATTGATTGATGATGGTCAAATTGAAGAAACAATTTCCGAAGGATCTCCAGAAGAGACTTTAGACATGAAACAAGAAGAAATTCATTTACCTGATAATGAAGAAATTTCAATAAATTATATCATGTCTGGAATTACATGGAACCGAAATCAAATTGGCGTCGATGATGTTTTTGCATGCAATGTAGCATTAGATGTTATGGATAATAATGAGGATCATGAACCAAAATCCATTGAATAATGTAGACAAAGAAATGATTGGCCAAAATGGAAAGAAGCAATTGAAGCAGAATTAAAATCTCTTGGAAAAAGAGAAGTATTCGGACCTATAGTCCGTACACCTGAAGGTTTAAAGCCAGTGGGATATAAATGGGTCTTTGTGCGAAAGAGAAATGAAAAGGGTGAATTTGTAAGATATAAGGCATGCTTAGTTGCACAAGGATTCTCACAAAGACCTGATATTGATTATGAGGAGACATATTCTCTTGTGGTGGATGCAACAACTTATAGATTTTTGATTAGTCTGGCAATAAGAGAAGGTCTTGACTTACGTTTGATGGATGTAGTCACAGCTTATTTATATGGTCCACTGGATAATGACATTTACATGAAGCTCCCAGAAGGATTCAAACTGCCAGAAGCAGCAAAATCTAGTTCTCGAGAACATTTCTATATTAAATTGAACAAATCTCTTTATGGATTGAAACAATCTAGGCGTATGTGGTATAACCGTCTAAGTGAGTATTTGTTGAAAGAAGGTTATAAGAATGCTCCTATCAGCCCATGTATTTTTATAAAGAAATTTGGATTAGGATTTGTTATAATGCAGTGTATGTTGATGATTTGAATATCATTGGAAATCCTAAAGAGATTTCAGTGACTGTCAATTATTTAAAGAAAGAGTTCAAAATGAAAAATCTAGGAAAGACAAACTTCTGCTTGGGGTTACAAATAGAGCACCTAGAGAATGGAATCCTTGTGCATAAATCAACATACATAGAAAAGGTTCTTAAAAGATTTTCTTTGGATACAACACATCCATTGAGCAGCCCTATGGTTGTAAGATCACTTGAAGTAGAGAAAGATCCATTTCGACCTCTGGAAAATGATGAAGAAATTCTTGGTCCTGAAGTACCGAATATTAGTGCAATTGGAGCACTAATGTACCTTGCAAGTCATACACGACCCGACATATCATTTTCAATTAATTTATTAACAAGGTTTAGTTCATGTCCAACCCAAAGGCATTGGAATGGGATTAAAAATTTACTTCGTTACCTTCAAGATACGAAGGATATGGGTTTATTTTTCCCAAATTTGTCCAAAGAAAATTTGATTGGTTTTGCAGATGCATGTTATTTATCTGATCCTCATAATGGTCGGTCACAAACTGGATATGTGTTCACATATGGTGGTACTGCCATTTCTTGGCGTTCCATGAAACAAACCATTGCAGCTACTTCTTCCAATCATTCGGAGATTTTAGCAATTCACGAGGCTAGTCGAGAATGTGTATGGTTAAGGTCGGTAGTTCAACATATAAAAGAAGTTTGTGGTTTATCATCTGGGAAAGAGGCACCAACAACTTTATATGAGGATAACGTTGCTTGTATTGCTCAACTTAAGGAAGGATACATCAAAGGCGACAGAACAAAGCACATCTTACCCAAATTTTTCTTCACTTGTGATCTTTAGAAGAATGGAGATATAAATGTATTGCATATTCGTTCTAGAGAGAATTTAGCAGACTTATTTACTAAGGCTCTTCCGACAACAACATTCAAAAAGTTAGCTTACGGCAATGGATTGCGTCGTCTTAAAGATCTCAAGTGATGTAGTCATGAGGGGGAGTTAATGCGCGCTGCACTCTTTTTTCCTTAACCATGGTTTTTTCCCACTGGGTTTTCCTGGTAAGGTTTTTAACGAGGCAGCATCTTATGCGCATTATAGTGTATTATTTTGTGCGGGTTTTGTAGTAAATGTTAGTTATTGTTTTATTCAATATATAGTCATCCAAGGGGGAGTGTTATGATAATATCTAAATATGGATGACTAATATCCCATGTACAATCTAGAATATTCTAGAGTTAGGTATTTGGTCTTATCCACTGATGGAACCCTAGGTAATGTCCATTATATATATCTTGTACTAGATGGAATATAAAATATAACGTAACAATCTTCCTTCATCTCTCTGTATTTTCTCTTCCATATTTAACAATGTCTGCTTTTGGAAGTCATAAAAGTAGCTATTGATAATCAAATATTGATAATAATTAATGACACCGAACTCATAATATCTTGATATCATTATCTAAGCTTTTATGAATCAGTAATAATATAACATAAGTAATTACTATATATTTTACTCATGGTTCTTCTGGACCATAAAGAGATTATTCTTACAATAATATGTCTCATTACTATTCTTCTTTAGGCAATTTGAATTTTATACGAGAGTTTTCCAATGAATACAAAATCAATTAATTCTCACATGGTTGAACTTCAGGTTGATATCTCAATAACTTAGTCACCTATACTCTCCATGAGTTTAATATCAACATTGTCGTTTTTCTAAATACAGAATTTGAAAGGATAGATATTTGAATACATTGTATGTAAGTTCTTCTTGAACCTTTCATGCATGATACATAACATGCTATTGGACCATCAACACATAAACTCTCATCACAATTATAAGCCCATCAGAGTATAAGATTCTTCTTGTAAGTCTTCATCATAATTATAAACTCGTCATACCACAAACATTCACATATAACATAATTGCTGTTGTATAGAACTAGTACTAA